GTTCAATACTAAAGACAACGAACTGTCACGACTTTCAGATTCTTCTGGCAAGAATGGAAAATTTTAAACGGTTAATTTTAGAGTAGTCTCATCAATCAATCAAAAGAAATAATTTGTGTTTTGCACAAATCATCATTTAGTAACATTTTATGACAGAGAATGCCATAAAAAACAACACCTGAAAATACAAATTTTTCTCCAAATCAAAATCTCCAATGGCTTTTCTACAGTCATGACAGTAAGTAAATTGTCAGTTTTTCTCTTATTATTACCAATAATCATTATTACATTATATGTTGACAAAGTGACAAGTATAATAAATATGTCCAAGACTTTGTTTCGTGTTGCAGGATTAGGATGAAAAAAAAAAAAAAAAAAAAAACTTGAATGCACATATGTCGCCTAAGCGGGGCCCCTCGGCTCAACAGGAGGTCACAGCAGGTCAGTAAGGTGGCCTTTGCTGTGCCCGTCAGACTATTCTTGTACCTGGAGAAGATCGTGTTTCCATACCCTTGGCGTGCACCAGGTTCCCGTGAAAGCCACATGAGAGTCTTTCAATCCACTTGAGCTGAAAAACTGCATGGTCAAATGACAGCAGGGATGAACATTTAGTGAAGAATCAGATGCTTAACTCCAGTTATAAAAATGCAGCGTTCACCTTTTTGTTTCTAATTCTGACATATTTTCTAAAATTAAGTGGGTTAATATAAGTAGTATTGTTGCCCTTTTATTGAGAAATAAGTTTTTGTGTCTTCTGGTCACAAATGCTGGCGCGATACTATTTCAGATTGGCCATGAAGACAACACCGTCATGCAATAAAACCCAATCAAAAGAAACAAAGTCACTCAACATGTCAATGCTCAACAGAAACAAAAAGTAAGGATAAAAGACTACACAATTTAATACATTTATGGACAAAGATTTTAACCTATTATTTTTAAATAATTTCTTCAATCAATTAATAATAATTTAATTAAGTATTTGTATTAATATATATTTTTAATTTTGACACAAAATACACTGTAAAAAGAACTAACACTAAAACTAAATTGACGAACAAAAATGATCACAGTGAATGAACAGGCAAATTCAGTTCACAAACCAAACTAAAACCCTGCCTTTATTGCTTGATGTATTATTGTAGTACAGTATGTCTATTTTTATTTCATTTCAATAAATTCAATCCACACATCATTGTTAAGCTCCAAGCGCATTTGAAAAGCTGTTTAATGCATGCTGTCCTAAGTGAAGGGGTGTTTTGGGTTTTTTTTTTGCTACATGACAACACCTCCACAGGTGAGCCCCGTGCTGCTTCATATGCATCTCGTGAGGAAATGATGCTTTTAGTGAACCCCTTTGAGTGGAAAGTGGGAGTTAAATGTCTTCTGTTCATCAATGGGTTCATTGGGGAAGACCCTCCTGCTTGATCCCCCAGCCCCCCCCCCCCAAAAAAACCACCACTCACCCCCCAGCATAAGTCTACTTTTCCATGGTTCAGGAGGGGGGTCCTGCCTGAGGAGTCACGCAAAGGGGGACAAAGATTGAACCCGTAAAACCTAAAGGCTGAATTGCTAACATGAATGCAAATACTAAATGCTAATGCGTGTGAAAGGTTGCATAAACCTCTTGTGGTTTTTAGTGGTCTTTAAAGTTTCAGCAGAAAAGAATTCTGTTCTGAGAGGTGTTCGCACTTCTCTTTAGCATTAAGAGTGTACAACAAATAATGTGTTCATCACGTATATTTGGACAGTGCTTTAATGAACTGCTAATGTGAATGCTAAATGATATTATGGTGTGAAAATGTGTGGTGCATTTATTTTGGGGTTTGATAGACTTTGAAGTATCATTAGCAGGTAATACTAGTTTAAGAGGTGTTACCACTTAGCATTACATTAAGGTAAGC